CTCCTGCAGGGTTTTAGATCCCAAACTACCAGCCTGGAAGCACCTTCTGGACCCGGTGCTCACACAAGGCTGTTCTCCAGGACAACTCCAATCCAGATCCACGTGCATCTGCCCCTCGGGGTTTAACCCTTGTGCAGCGCCAAGTTATATAGGGGAGCTCTGGGTTGATCTGCAACTATTTACCTTCCAGGTTCTTCGCCACACCGTGACTCAGGCAGACAGGTACTTCCAGGTGCTGACAAAGGCAGTGGGGATGAGGGAATAGGGCACTGTCGTGACGCTGCTCCAGGTGTCGGACGACGGATCGTAGCAGTCCAGCGTTTTGCAGCGCTGAGCCCCGCAGTAGCCCCCCACCACGTACAGTCTGTTACCCGACGTAACGGCGCGGCAGCTGATGCGCTTGGCGGTGACGTCCCCGAATTTGGACCACTGGTAGGTGTCACTGTGGAAGCGGTAAGCGGAGCTGGCGGAGAACTCCGTGTCCCCCCCGATGACGATGATGTGGCTGCCCACCACGGCGGCGGCCGTGTATCGCCAGGGCTGGGGGCAGCTGGTGGGCACCGTCCAGCGGTTCTGGCAGGGGTCGAAGCACTGCACCTTGGGCAGCTTCTCCTGGTTGGCGCTGGTGCCACCGAAAACGAAGAGCTTCATCTTGGCTCCCACCACGGCGGCGTTGCTTACGCCTTCTCGGAGAGGAGCCACCAAGGACCATTTGTCCAGCTGTGGGTCGTAGTGTTCGACTTGCTTCAGCGAAACGGAGGGGGAGGCCGGGAAGGCCCCGCTCACGGCGGTGTGACCCCCCACCACGTACAGACAGTGGTCCAGCTCAGCGGAGCCGTGGCCAAACCGCGCCACCAGCATGGGAGCAGCTTTCGCCCACTCGTCGTGGAGGGTGTCGTAAACCCAGACGTCTCTGGAAGCGCCGTTCTCGGAGCCTTTGCCGCCGGTGATGTACACTTTGCACCCGATGGCGCAGGCACTGCACTCTTTACGAGGGCTTGGGATGTCGGCACGAGGAATGATCTCGCTGGTTTTATGATCCAGCATGTAAATCTTGTCGCACATGAAGGTCTGGCCACCGAGCAGCAGCAGGGCCTGGCTGACCTTGCGGGGTCGGGCGCAGCACCCCGTCACAAGGCCGTCATTTTGCAGGATCTTCATTTTGCATCGTACGGCATCGGCCACGATCTCTTCCCCCAGCTTGTGGCTGGTCACCAGCTTCTCACAGGCCACTTGCTTCCGCAGGTAGGACTCGGGCAGAAGGGCCAGGCGGACGGAGCGCAGCAGCTCTGGCAGAACTTCGTGACGTCGGGGCAAATCGTACCGGATCCAACCTATAACAGCCTCGTAGACCAACGTCTCATCCTCTACTTCCAGCTCTTCACTCTCCACCAGCTCCAGCAGCTTGTCTTTGGGCAGCCGGAGGAAGTCTTCGGTCTTGCAGAGCGAGGTGAAGTTGGCCAGCGCCATCCTCCAGGACAGCTCCAGCAGCCGCTCGCAGCAGTGGGCATCGGACAGCAACAACATGTTCAAACAATTCCCAGGGTAGAGATTCTTCTCCAGGAAGTCGGCCGAAGCATCCCGAATATCCTGAAACTGCAACATGTCCCCAGCCTCCAGCAAGGACTCCGCGTTCTCCTCATTAATCAGCACCCGGGCCGAGTAGGCGTAATCCAACAGCAGCTCCAGCACCTCGGGGTGGAGGGAGTCGTGGAAGTTGACTTCGGCGTCTCGGCTCTCTTTCAAGCCCCCGCTGAACATAGCGTCGAAGTAGCGGCTGCAGGAGGCCAGGACGGCCCGGTGGCAGTGGAAGGTCTGGTTCCCGGCTCGCAGCACCGCGTCGGTGAAGAGGTGCCGCTTGCGGAGCAGGTTGAGGTGGGTGAGGAGGCTGTCGGCATGGCCCGGTTTGTGAAAGAGGTGGATGTTCATGGAGCCGGAGCTGGAGCGAGATTTGCGGTTCTCGTGGCTGCTGACGGACATGGTGCTGAGCCTTCTCTGCGAGGGCAAACGGGAGTCAGCAGGGACGAGCCCCGTGGCACCGGGAGCGCGGGGGGGCGGGGGGGGGGGTGTCCCGCGGCGGTGGGGCTCGCCCAGTGCAAACCGGAACGGGGCACCGGGCGGTCGCGGGCCAAACGCCGGTGCAGAGAACGGCTCCGCCGGGCCCCGCGTAGAATCGGGGGAGTGAAGGGGGGGGGGTGTCCCGATGTGCAGTTCTGGTGCTGCCCGACGCAGGCGTTGCCCGCTCCCGGTGCCCCCGCGCTCCCCGCGACACCCTCTCCCGGTGCCGCCTTCCCCCGGTGCACCCCGTCCCCGGTGCCCCCCAGCTCCCGCACCCCCCGCTCCCGGTGCTGCACACCCCCGCTCTCGGTGCCGGTGCCCCCCCTCTCCCGGTGCTGCACACGCCCGCTCTCGGTGCCGGTGCCCCCCCTCTCCCGGTGCTGCCCACGCTCGGTGCCGGTGCCCCCCCCTTCCCGGTGCTGCACACCCCCGCTCTCGGTGCCGGTGCCCCCCCGCTCCCGGTGCTGCCCACGCTCGGTCCCGGTGCCCCCCCTCTCCCGGTGCTGCACACCCCCGCTCTCGGTGCTGGTACCCCCCCCGCTCCTGGTGGTGCCCAACCCCGGTGCCGGTGCCCCCCTCTCCCGCCTCCCGCGCTCACCCGCCGCTCGCCGCCCGTTCTGCCGCCGCGCCCCGCCGCCGCGTGGCCCCCGCGCCGCCGGCCCCGCCCCTCCCGCGGCGGAACAGCCAATCACCGCCCTCCTCCGCGCTCTTTTGTGAATGGGAGCCGGGGCCGGCCGTGCGCATGCGCCGCCCCTTAACCCTTTCCTGGCTGCCGGCGGCGGGTCCCTCCGTCCCCCCTTTTCCCAGCGCTGCTCCCCCCGAGCCGAAGCAGCTTACTCGGGGCAGGAGCACCGCTCCCTCCCGCAGCAAGGCTTCGGCAGCCGAAAGGGGGATGGTAGGGCAGCCCTGACGCTCATAAAGCCCGGCCGGAACTTTGGCCGCGGAGCCACGCTGCCATAAATGGGCGATAAAAGCAAAAATCCGGGGTCTGGGCTGGAAGCGGCAGCTCAGCCTTTAGCTCCCGGCTTGCTGACAAAGGGAGGTCACAGCCCGAACAAACTATCCCTGCTCAGCAAATGTTCTCCTGCATGGGGCAGAGCAGGAGCTGAGTTGGGCTTAAGGCCGCAGCAGAAAAGAGGAGAAAAAACAAAACAAACAAAAAAAAAAAGAAAAAAAAAAAAAAGACAGATTTTGAGAGGATTGGGGTGGGGGCTTGGACTAAGAAAGAGCGAATGCTGGTCTGGCCAGTCAGCAGCCACCATCGATGTTTAAATATTGTGTGTCAGGAGGGACCAAAACCCCTCTACGGAAAAATAGGAATTTCAGAAATTCTTAAGTACCAGATTTTGCATTATCTTTGCACATTTCAGTTTGTCCGGCGCTTCACCGGCTGTGATTTAAAAATCACTCCATGAGGAAGGGGATAAAGCAAGCACATTTAGAGCGGTTTACAGCAACCTTTCTTTATGTTAAAATGAAAAACATGGTTTAGAGTTTTACTAATTTGGTATCAGAGGTGTGTATATTTAATTGCTATAGTTCCACCTTGTCCCACACTGAGTAGGCGAGAGTGTTCAGAAGGAATGGATTCATGGGGTTAAGAATACAAAGAGATAGAATCTGATTTCTGATTAAAACCCCACCAAATTGCAGCAGGAGCCACCGCAGCTGGTGACAGGACGAGGCAGCAGCTACAGCTGTCCCCAACGCCAGGCCCCGGGCTCTTCAGGCACAAGACCTGTGGCATGAGTAGAGGCAAAAGGAGTCTTTTCCAGCTAAACCTGTACCAAAACTGGTAAATGTGACACCAAATTCTGAGCACAATGAGGGAGGTGTCTGCTGGGGCACTTGGCAGGGTGAAGGTCCAGATAAATGGCGAGGACAGGGCGGAGGATGAAGAGTATCAAGACCTCGCTCTGCTCTTTGGACACAGGCAGGAGAGTTTCCAGTGTCAGTGCCAAAACCAGCAACAACAACAACAAAAGAGATCAAACCTCCTGGATGTGTGATGGGCACCGTACTGCGTCCCAGGGAGCACAAGCACCACGCAGGCTGAGCGGGATTGTTTTCAAAAGATGCATTTCCATGACAGTCAGTCAGGTGCTCTAAATTATTTCGGGAGAAGGAAAGCTGATAACAGATGGGGAGCTGCAGCCAACGCAGCACAAACGTTTTCTGTTGCCTAGGCACGGCTCAGAGCTTTCTAGAACCAGATAAAAGAACATTGGCCCAGTTATCTGAAGGACTGATCACTCAAGGCCACCTTTGAAGTATTTGTCTCATTTATTATTGGTACCGCCTAGAAATATAACTATAAAACTCATCTTGGCATTGGTTTGATTGGTCCTTTGAAAGGTGATTAATAAATTTGCTGTTTTTTAAAAAAAAAGTCTGTTGGCTGCTGCTGGAGCCTGGTGGAAGAGCTCCACCCGGTGGCATTCCATAAAGGCACGGCTGGAGGCTGAGCGCTGCCTCTTGTTTCCCCCAGGAAGTCTCAACTTTCAGTATTTCCCCTTAAGATGAGCAACACAGCCCAGAAGAAAGCCTCTCGAGGAACTGTGAACAGTTGCTGTTCCTTTCCCATTTCCCCTCAAAACACAACAGTCACAGCCACAATAACCGCTTGCTCCTCTCCGTGCTTGGGGCACCTGCTCCGGGCTCAAACACCAAAATATCTGATGGAGAAAGTTCCCTGATACCAGTCACCCCTCCCTGGTTCAGACAAGGCACCGAGACCAGAGGAGTTTTGTGCGACAGAACCATGGCCTCTTCCCCGCCTAACGCTGACTTTGTGCTCTTTTAAATTACTGCATGTGTCTTTTGGGACAGAGGAAGGAAGAATGGAAGTGACTTTTCCCCTCTATTTTCCCAGTCTTAGGAGATTTCTTGATTTTCAGAGGGTTCACCTGAAAGATTTCTGTGATGAAGAGTGATAAAACTTGTTAGCCGCAAACAATCCTCTCTGTAATAGACATCTTGACTACAGTCCCAATTACAGGATGTGTGAAATTACAACCAAAAACACCCAGGCATGTTAAAATACACCCTGCCTCACACTAAAGGCATTTTTGCCGTGTAAAAATTTGCCTCCTGAAGCTTAATTATGTTTTATACAGCTTCAGAATTTCCTCCTCCAGATGATTGGTAGATTCCAATCAGGGAAGATATGGTCCCCAGGAGACCGACTAGCCAGGGAGGAAAGCGGCCAGCCCAAAGGAATCCCGGCGGCAGCCAGTGGATTGCGTTGGAGAGATCTGCTGCGTCTGTGAGGATGCTCAAAACTTCAGCCTTTACTTGGGCTTTTGTTTCCTTTTGACTCTCCTTTGTACTGCTGGAAGCAAAACTAACATTAGTGAAAGCCCATAACGTAATAATAATCAGTGATAGCTCACAGATGAGGGCAGATGTATTTGGGTTAGATTAGCTGTAGAGCCAAGGAGGGGAAATCATACCACTTGTGCTGCCTCAGCTTTCTTCTTAACTGGAACAAGATTCTCAGGGATCTGAAAACAAGACAACAGAGTTATTTTCTCCGCAGCGCCAAGGGGGAGGATTTTTATCTCTTGCATTAAGCGCATCGGTGAGGAAGCGTGCATGCTTCTGCGGCTGAGAGGGTCCTCCATTTTAGCCCGATCACAAGGGGATTCGTTCCCTGTCCCATCCCCTTACCGCAGGATGCCCAGGAGGAGGGAGAAAGCCCAGAGCACTGTGCTCAGCGTCCACCAGTTCCGCGAGCCGAGGCGGACAACGCCGGCATCCGCTGCCCAGGCGATGTGCTCGCAGGGATAGTAGAGCTGGTTGGCCAGGTTGCAGAGCACCGACAGCGCCCGCACCAAAGTGTCCTCATCCTGCGGGGAGCACGGGGGACACGACACACCTTGGCGCTGGTGGGGCGGGAGGGGGAGGCCGCCGCTGCTCCCCACGGCCCTGCGCTCACCTTAGGGCCCAGCCCGTAGCTGCAGCTGTAGCTGAGCATGGCGAAGTCGTCGAAGAGGCGGAGGGCGGTGCGGCAGGCGCTCAGCTGGGCCGACACGGCCAGGAGGCTCCCGGGCAGCCCGGATGGCGAGGCCTGAGGCCCGGCCAGCGCTCCGCCCGCCAGCTGACAGCCATAGCAAAGCGCACGGACCTGCGGAGGCACAACCCGGTGAGAGCCCGGCCGTCCCGGCCGCTCAAGGACCCTGCCGGGCCGCTCCCCGCCCACTCACCACCCGGTCGCGGCCGCGGTAGGTCTCCAGCACAGCGACTAGGCCGCGGAAGGCGCCCGCCGCCATAGCAACGGCTTCCCGGATGTGCCGCCGGCGGCGCGGGGCTTGCCGGGAAGGTGGCGGAGCCGTCGCCATGGCGACGCGGCCCGGTACCCAAACCGCGGCCTTTCGGTGATGGCTGCGGCGGCGGCGGCAGCGATCCCGGCCCCGCTCACCGGCCTCGCCTTCCTGAAGGCATCGCACATTCAGCTGGGGGCTGACCGCTGGACGCCGCGCAGCGCCCGGCGACCATTTTCTCACAGCCAGTTCCCCCCACTCTGGGGGGTTTACCGGCCGGCGCCGGCCCCGCCGCCCCGCAGCGAGTGGGCGCTGAGGGCGGCTGGGGGTGACGGCGGGGGAACCTGCTCGGAAACTCGCCTGGCGTTTCCAGAGAGGCCCCTGCAGCGGGTGGCCCCCGTTGTTCGCCCGGAGCCACGGCTCCGCATGCACACAGACCCCCGCATCCGCGTCCTCGCCTCGGCGACGAGGGAGAGCTTCCCCTGGCCACACGCCCCCCTTCAGACACCCCCCCGGCCCACGGCCGAGAAATGGAAGGATGACGTTCCATGTGGCGACAGAGAGAAAATAAGGCTCCCGCCATCCCTCTACGCCTTTTCATACCCAGCGTGGGAAATCCAGCCTGCTGCCAGGCCATGGCACTCGCACTGGGGTGAGCTGTTTTAAGGGCTGATGTGTCCCCAGCAGACCTTCCTGGCACCAGGGCTTGGCTCAGAGTCCTGCTGTGAAAAATTAAAGCTGTTAGAACTATTAGGATATTTTGCCTTCTCTTTATATAGCTGAGTAAATCAATCCGATGCTCATAAAACAGGTTAATAGCACTAACTAGAGCCACTCGCTAGCCGAGCTTTTTGCTGCGCAGCCTTTCCAGCTGCCTTTAACACTTGCTGTATCCCCAGATGCTGCAGTTTTCACCCCAGAGCTGCATCACTTCTGAGGCACCACATCCATGTTCTGCAGTGTTGCAACTCACTGCAACCCGGTGTCAGTTGTTTTGCCATTTCACTACACAAAACAGATTCAGTAGTATTGAAATACTAAAAGAGCAGCTGCCTCAAAATTGTAGCTTCAATATCATTAATATTTCCTTATAAGGGTAAACAGAGCATTTTTAAAAATAACACCATTCATTCTCCCTTCTGGCTGTTTGGCAGGATGTGTTCCTACTATTAAAGGGGATGGACAGTCCTATTACCACACTTCTTATCAAGCACAGTTTAAAGGTGAATGGAGTCCACCTGCAAAGCCCAGTGAAAAGGTAACAGCATGATTTTGGGGACGACCAAGATACAGTCAAAGGGCAGCATGTTCCCATGTTGAATTCCATCCTGAAAGGGGTGGGATCCGTGCAAGTGAAAACCAGATGAATGGAAAGACAGAGCAGGGAGACAAAGGAATTATGCTTTAAGTGGCTGTTCTGTAGCTCTCTTGGCTTCCCTTCAGCACATGTCTACTATTACATTTGGGGATCCCAGAAGCAGTGGATCTATGAGTGAGCAGAAACATGCCTACAGTGCCCCGGACAAGCGGAGACACAGGTATCAGCAGGAGAACCTGATGGGCATCCCTAGGAACTGCTCTTTCTGATGAACTTTGCTAGTTAAGCAGCTCATATCTGGTATCTCGCAGGGTCTATGACAAGGAACGTGCTGCCTCCCAGATCCACCACACAAACATGCAGCTGGGGGACGGTTGCATCAGATTCTCCACCTCAACGTCAGAGCTCTTCCCAGTGCACAATCTAGGTAGGGTAGGTCTGTGACACAGAGGCCACATGTACAGACCACTACTGGGGTTTATAATGAGCTGAACAGTAGGTTTTATCACTTGGGTTTAGTGTAGTAATTAAAGATACAGTGCATTCATATGATATGTATATAATTTGATATTTTGAATAGTTTTTACATACTCAGCACCAGTGTCGTCACTGTGAGGCTCCCTTTCATCCTCACTCCACTTCCCCAGCAGGTTAAATCGCTGTATTCATTCCTGTGCTCTACTGCACAAGGAGAAACTGTTGTAGGTATAAATTGTTCAGAGACTGAGGCACTCTAATATCCTTCACTTTTGCTTTTGCCAGAGCCTGTAACTACCGCTCATCCAAACAGATATGCCTCATCCATCCCCAGAGGCGACGAGGACCCTGAGAGAAATCAAGCATTGGCCAGCAGTACTACTACACAGCTCTCCTACCCAGAGGTCTGTTTCCAGCTTTGCTGTGTGGGTGTTTCTCTGGTGGAGACCCTCTCTTCTTTTACTCACACTGCTCTGGTGCCTAAAGCCGACGTCTTCTTCTCTTCTCCCCTCCTCACACCACGTGGCAGCGCTGGACACTGGGCTGTGTAGGGTGCTAATGTGCAATAGGGCGCCTTTCCCAGCCACAGCCTGTTTCTGTTAAAGCAGCTCTTGTCCTCCAGACTGACAGGTGGAACCTCGCACCGAAGCCTGACTCACTACTTCAGAAACATCAAAGCAATGTCTGCTTGGGAGAGGAGTGTTCAGGATCCAGTTTCTTCAGCACAACGCAGCAGGCAGACTATCAGCCACCCTGCCAGGGCCAGAGGGTGATGGCAGACAGCAGGAGCCACCGCGAGAACCACGTCCCCTTCACCTATCACAGTAAGGCCGTGTTGCTCAGACCGTGGTGGTGCTGTATGAAGCCTGCTGAGGTTCTCCTGGCTCTTTGCAAGGGGCAGAGGTGCCTGGTGCTCTGGGGAAGGAGGCAGCACGGACATCTCGAGTTGGAGATGGCAGGGAGGCGCTGGTGCAGCATCGTGTCTTCAGTAAAATGAGACTGTTACCCCAAAACCAGGCAGGACAGCCATGCCTACTGCTGCTGGTTCTCACAGCGGCTCCTAATCTCAGGAGAGATTTCACCTTCCCAGATGCCATCTCACTCACTCTGATGCCTGTGCCAGCCATAGGCATTCACTGCCATCACACGGCAATTCAGGTGTTGTGAAAGACTTCTAAGACATGAACCAGTGGCTCGATCTTTCTCCCTTGCTACATTTGTTTTTAGAAGTTGTTTTGCATTTGTATTTGGGAGGAAGGAGAGGATTTCAATCAAAAGCTGTGCTTATGCAACCTCAGGAAGGGATGTGGTTAGAGCTGGTCATGGAAGGCATTAAGAAAATCCTCCTCTGACGTTGCCTCCTGTTTCTGATGGCCAGTACTCTGCAGCTAAAAGAGAGGTCCTTTCATACCATGTATCTGGTTTTAAGCCATTTATTTTACTAAATGTGGAACAGATCATAGTTGAATCGATCTCTTCCTCGGCCTCAACCTTCTGGAGTAGCTCCATAACTAGCATATGGAGTGATATTCCTGTAACTGCCATGTGAATTTCTTTATTTACCTCCTCACCCTGAGAATTGTTTTCTGTCTGGGCAAAGGTTTTCAGCAAAGTGCTGACGGCAAAGCCTGTCTTTTCCTCTCGTTAATGGAAATGCATGCAGATCTGTGACTGCAAGTCAAACTGCAAAGCTTTTCTGGTGTTGCCTCCTAATTTACTGGCTTGAATTTAATTTTTATTTCAATTCCATCTGTCAGCAGATGAAAGTTCTGTCACAACCACGCAGGCCATGCTGGTCCCACACAGACAGCAGAAACAACGACTCTCCAAAGACATGCTACAGCAGGTACAGCCTTAATAGGCTTGGATTTACCACGGGGCAGCTTGGGGAAGCGGGATTATACCAAGTGAAGCTGTAGCCTGCCCATTAACATCATCAGTTTTGGTGTTGTTAGCTCTTGAGCGACTTGAGATGGGACAGCCGCGCAGCAAATCCTGTCTGCCTCCAGTCTCAAGTAAATGCTCTGTGGGGAGCAGAGTTGTAGCTGAAGAAAAAATCTTTGAAGGGAGAGGAAGGACAGGCAACCAAATTCCTAAACCAAGGAACATTGGAGGGAGGAGGAAGGTGATTCTGGTCCCTCACAGAGGATCAAAGGAGGAAGACTGGCATGGCTAGAGGCATCCAGCCAGGGTAAAGGTCTGCACCATCAGCAGAGAAGGCTGTGCATCTGCCAGAGAGGGAGAATGCAGGCTGGCACAGACTGCAGCTGCCTGGTGGGGTGACCCCTCAGGTAGCAACACAGAGCTGAGATGTAGGGGCTGTCAGGTTCCACATTACCACCCGCCCCTGACCCATGTGCTGAAAGCTTTCCTCTCTCCTCAGATCAAATGCTCACACCTGGGGCTGCCCTGGAGGGCGCAGGACCTCTTCAGGACTGAGCAGAAAGATGAGTTCACACCCAAGTCCAGAGGCCCAGCAGAAATCCAAAAGGCAAACTCCCAAGTGAGCCGTGTCCCCCTGGGGAACCTGAAAAAATACTGTCCCCAGAGGAAGGTGATCTTCGCACGGTGATGTTCTCCCAGCTTCAGTGACCACCCAGCCCTTGCTACCCACCGCGGACTGCCTACACCTCATGTTACCCGTTAGCAGTCCTAGCACCCTGCTCTTACCCTGTCTGGGTGTTATTACAGGGAACATTTATTTCTCAGATTTAATGAGGACACAAGAAGGTGGTGTGACAGCAAGAATAAACACTGGGAGATTAGCCCAGAGACATGGGTGACACATCTCTTGGGATTGCGAGACCCACTGAGTGCCTCTAAGGCAGGCGCTGGGGCAGGAGGAAGCAGATGGGGTAGGGGGAAGCTCAGAGAAAGGGCAAGAGATCAGTAGCAAAGTGAGAGGCACTGTCAGGGCTGTGTGGGGGCTGGAATATTCCCTTATTATCTGTTTGGATTTTGGTGTCAAGGCCTGAAACCAAAGGTCAGTGAACAGTAGGGCAGAGAGGTAGCTCTCCCCAGCTTATGAGTGGGCTGTTTTCCTAGAGGTGAGCTGTGTATTTTTGTTGAGCTGATAACTTGCATGGGTTTCCTGAATGCTGAGCTTGCACTATCTCTGTTTGGGATACAGGTATTTTGAAGATGGATCAGTGTGGACCCATCTGCCCCCTCCCTGGGGAGGCTGAGTGATCCAGGTCAGCTGCTGCCTTGCCACAGCTGCCACTTTGCAGGCTCTGGTCATCCTTTTGGTGCAGACGGGTCTGATTCATGTGTGCTGTGAGCCAGCACCGAAGCATTTGAGCACGAATTACTAAACCATTTAAAACTGCTGCAGTTTGTGTGTGAACAGGGGCTGGGCCCATGAGCCCTCATGCTTTCCTCTTGGGATTTGACTCTACCTCTTTCAGGAAAGGGACAGTCTTTGCTCCACGCGTACTGCAAAGAAACCACATATTCCAGTCTTGCAAATGCACACAGGCACCTCACAGTATCTCACACTGGTATGTTGCAAACACCTCAATTCAAACACCTAAATTAAATCATTTGGTGTAGTAACAGGGTCTTGCATCTGCTACAGGTATGCCCCATTACTTTTATGTGACCCTGAGGTAGCACTGTCACCTGTGCTACTGCAGAAACAGGCACGCTTCACTGGGGATAAGTGGTGAACATCACCCTTTTGGTGGAACCAGCTGGCTGGGGAACTGTTGCTGGGAGGTCCCTGTGGTTATTCACTTTCTTTTTCATGTGGATTTTGATGCAACTTCAGACACAGAAAGTAAACTGGCTTTCGGGGTAAGGGTCTTTGCTTTCTAAACTCCTCTCCCACCCCTTCCAGCAATGCCCCAGGAGTGCCCCAGCTGGCAAGGCCAAGCAGGCTTTCTTCGATTCCCCCATCTACAGGAAATCTGCCCCAGCATGGCTGGTGGTGTGTGACACCCCTCCCTGCCGACGGAGCCACCAGCACGTACCGGTTGCACGTCAACAGTGTCTGTGACTCAGAGATAAGATGAAGTCATGTTACTTCTCGATTGGTTTAAAAACATGTCACTTGTCTCCGCAGCCCCATCCTTGGCACGGCATCGGCCTCACACACGTGAGGTCAACGCTAAAGCATCACTGCAAAACAGGGGCTTGGTCCAACCCTGGGGAAGATTAGGCCTGCAGGGTTGGGCCAGTTAGGAGCAGGGATAAATTAGGGGATTTCGGTGTAGCCTTTGCTCTTTCCTCCCCTCCCTGGAGGGCTGCGCAGCTGCCTGTCCCGCTCGCCTCAGCCCAGGCGAGGACCAGCCTCCCGGAGCTGCCGGATAAAGCGGGCCGGCAGCGATGCAGCCCCCGGGGTGCCTGCGGAGCTTGACGGTGGAGCTGGAGGACAGGCAAGCGCGGGGCGCCTACGGCAGCGGGGAGCTGCTGCACGGCCGGGTGCAGCTGGAGCTACGCGGCGCGCTGCGGCTGCAGGCGCTGGAGGTGTCCGCTCACGGACGCGCCGTCGCGCACTGGCTGGAGAGCCGCAGCGTGGGACTCAACACCGTCTACCGCGACTACACAGCCTACCAGACCTTCCTGTGCCGCCGCTACCAGCTCATCCCCGGTAAGGCTGGGGCATGGGGGTGGTCGGGACCCCCTTGGGCTGCAGGCACCCCCTCCGGGTGAACCTCTGCCCCGACGGGTGCTTGCCAACCCAAGCAGGGTTGTCCCGCTCAGACACCCTCTTCTCACCTTTGCCAAGGGTTTCTCTGCTGCTGGTTTCTAGGAGGCTGCTTGCAAACTCAGGGTGGGTGAGCACAAAAGAACTGTGGCTTTTGTTCTGTTTGCACAAGGAAGTGCAAACAGAAATGTCTGTTCGCAAGTGTGGAAAGAGCACTTAGTAGTTCAGCAAATATTTGTTTTCAGTTTCCTGATGCTGGGACCGCATGCCCAGCTGGCATGTTGCTTAGATCTGCTGCAAGAGGACAAGCCACTTAAATTCTTTGTGTGGTTGAGGTGAAATGATCCAGAGCTGAGGGATATGGGATATCTCAGCCATCCATCCACTCACTGACTCTGTCTCTTCTTATGAAAGTGCATGTCTTTTATCCTCCCCTCCAACGATAGTGTTACAGTCATGGCTCTGTGGCTTTTTCTCCCCCTTTCCCTCCTTCTAATGGCCTCGTTATTGCCTGGGACACAGTGCTATGTGCTGCCCAGCCCTGAAGATGGCCACGGGACTTCACTCCTGCTGAGGGCATTTAATTGTGCCAGTGGCCAAGTGCAACCCAGAAAGTGGTGCCAGCCCTAGCTGGCAAATGTGGAGGTTGCGGGAAGAAACTGGAGTGGTGGAAAGAGAACCTGAGCTGCCTTCCTGAAGGTGTTCTTGTCCCTCGACTGCACTGGGGGGGTGTGTGTGTCATATTCTCAATTTCTTGGTGGCTGTACCTCACCATCTGCCCCAAACACCTGCATTACTCTGGAGTTTCTGTCTTTTGGCAGTGGCTCTTCCGTGCTTTTGCCTAAGGATGGCCCCTTTGCGGCTGCAGCTGTGCTCAGTGTCCTGATTACAATTAAGGACATGGGAGAAGCCCTTGCCCTGAACTCCAGCTGAGAACGTCCTGAGCACTTGGTCACTGCAGTGTTTGGACGGTGGCCGCGTTAGCTGTAAGGTTACAGGGTGAGTTTTATTCCCCATTATGCCTGCAGTGAGTGCCTGTAGGGAAGCCACAAGCTGCTGCGAGCGTGTTTGGATGTTGCTGCTGGGATTGTGTGTGATAGAAGCCCCTGGAGCCGCCTGAGAAAAGGCGCTGGGCCAGGGACTGGAGGAACTGCACGAGCTGCTGGGCCTCGCCAGCACCCTGCGCTCCCGTAGCTTAGAGCTGATGGTTTCTGGCCTGTGCCTGCTGCACAAGGAGAGTTGAACTGGGCTCCTTGGGGAGCAGAGAGCCCCACCAGAACTTGTGGGCTGGGATTTTATTGTCTCTGTCCATACGCATATTCCTTTCTTCTTTGTGAGAGGGACACGGGCATGTGATCATATGAGAGAAAGCCGGGGGCTGTGAAGAAGTGCTGTTCTGCAACCAAAATCGCTTTCTTTGGATCCTGCTGGGACCTGCTCTGTCCCACTGTCCCCAACAGCAGCGTGAGGATCTTCCCAATGTCAGCTGGCGAGAAGCTGCTGAAAACGTGCCATCATCTGAAGGTCCCTGTGACTGCTCCCTTCTTGTTGCTTCTCAATGAGATCAACTGTCTGCGTGGTGTTTAAAAAATGCAGGTTTTGTCATGGTAACAAGGCAGTGCAGAGGAGGGAAGCCAGGCAGAGATAAGAGCCCTCCCTTCTGCTCTCCCCTGAGCTGTGAGTTTATCTGCAGTTTCCTGGCAGGGTGGTGAGCACTGGCACCAGGGTGCTGTGCTAAAAGACAAGAAAAAGGGTGAAAGAAGGATGTTCAGACTGCACGGCAGGGCCATTAAATGTGTATTGTGTGATGATCTTAGATAGGGAGCAGGAAGAGAGGAAAAGATAGGGGTTTGATGGGCAAAGGCAAAGCAAGGAACGCCCTGGGCTCTTCTGCATGAGGTGATGTGAGAGCCTTAGGAAACATAAATGCTTTTTGTGCAGTGATCCCTTCTGTCTGAGGGTCCTGCAGCACTTCCCAGAGGTGTAGGTCCTGCCCCAGTGAGAGGCAAATGTCTAGAAGCCATTTTATTTTCATGGAGACATCCAGGAGAGTTACAGCACGTGGGCTAAGAGCACGTCAGGCTCCTGTTCCATTGCGGGGTGGCCCTTGATCAGCACCTCAACCCTCAGTCATATGCAACACTCGCAAATCCGGCAGGGACGGAGCTTATTCCTTAAGCCGGGAGCATGTGTTTGTGTGCAAGGCTCCGTGTTGTGCCATCTTGTCCCCATATTGGGTCGGGGTAGAGCTGCTGACTCGCCTTTTTTACCTGCTGCATCCCCCTCTCTCTGGTTTTCCAGGGACCCTTGTGTGGCTCCAGGGTCAGTGGGGAGAAGCCACCAGATCCCAGCAGCGCGTCAGGGAAGGAGAAGCCCCGTCTGAGCTGGGAAGGGTGTCAGCTCTTGTTGGGACCAGCTTCAGCCCGGCCAGACTCTAGGTGGGGCTGAAGAGTTGGAGATCTTTCCTGCACAGAGCCTGGCCTGGGGTTTTAGTTGGGTTTGGGCGCCCAGGAGCATTCTCGAGTGGAAAGTCCTTGGCCGTGGTCCCACAGGCCCTGCACCTGGAGATCTGGGAAAGAGGAGGGACCCTCTCCCAGCGCTGGGGTTCCAAAGAGGTCAGAGTGGGGCTCCCCACCCCCAACGGAGGCAACGAGGGGTGTTTGTGGACATCTCGTGCAGCTGACACGGGAGGGAGGTTTGCAGAGATTCTCATCCCGTGGGCGAAGGCTGAGTCATGGGCTGAGGGGTGTGTGCTGACAGGCGGGAGGAGGAGGATGCCAAGAGCAGGATGGAGCTGCCTCGGCCCGGCCAAGGCTCTGGTCCCCCTCGAGAGCCCCACCACCTCTAATGTCACCATCCACCGCAACCGGGACACCAGCCACCTTCCCAGAGCTGGCATCACCCGTTAACTCGTGCTGTGACATGCCTTACTTCCTTCTTTCCCTCTCCCGTTGCTGTCAGGCTCCCTTTGCAGTGTTTGCTATGATTCATGTTTGCTTGTGGCAGCAAATGGTCGCTCACATAAAATGAAACACGGTCCCTTTCCCTCGGGGAGGGAGACAATTCCAGTTAGCCTTTGGAGATGGCTAAAGCTTTACAAGGCTTCAGCCCAGCTCATTTTTGGTGGCTGAGATCAACCCAATTCAGCACAGCAGGTCCTGCCCAGCATGGCTGGGAGCAACTCAAAAATCCTCAAAACTTCAGTGGCCAAATGCTGAGTAACATTTCTAATGCCTGTTTTGTCTTATCCCCAGCCCATGCCCGGGGTGGAGAACTCTGGTGCTTTGCAATTGTGACAATCATGATTAGAGTGGAAGTTTCTAAAGCTGCATTAACCCCTTGGGGGTGTGTGTGGATCCCTTTCTCCTCCTTTTTACCACATCTTGGGGCACTGCTAATGGTGATGTGTGCCCTGAGAATCACCAGTTCCCAGGTTTCATGCTTTTACCCCATCTGAGCACCGGCAGCAGCAGCCGCTGACGACAGAGCGAGTCCCCACGCCGTGCCTGCCCACACAGGTGTAATTTGTCGCTAGGTTTTGGAGCAGCACCCCACAAACCCCAGTACGAGCTGGTAACAAACCAGCGCTCGCCTGGTTAAAAAGCTCAGGGAAGATGGTATTGCTCACTCTGTAATTGCACAAGCTGAACGGGAGCCAGTTCTTGATTTCTTAGAAATAAGTGAAGCGATGTCCCAGACCGGTTTTCCCTTCGTTGCCAGTTGGCCCGGCCACGCCGCGTGAGGAGCCCAAATCCAGTCGCAGCCTGTTCCGACCCCTGGGAATGATTCTTGGGAAAGGCGGGATGTGGATCCGCATGCGGCCCTCGGCTCCCACCCGCGGGAGCCGGAAGGGAAAGGGGGGGCTGCTGCTCCGAGTGTGAACCCCCCTGGGAACGCGCCGAGCGCGGGACGCAGGATGGGGGTGCTGAGCGGGGTTTTGGGGAGCCCGGCTGGTTATCCCCAGCAGCGCCCAGCCCCGTGAACCACCCCACTCCTGGCCGCGTTCCCGTGGGCTGCTGCGGTCCAAAACACCCTTTGGGATGTCGTGGGGGCTGCTCAAGGAACTGGGGAGCCCCAGCCCAACACCCCCCCACACCCACACCCACGGAGCCGGGAAGGGGAGGGGGCGGCTCGCACATGCTCGCTGCCTTGTTTTGCAGGGGCCGGCGGGGCCGCCCCGTCCCGTCCCGCCCCACCGGGGCCGCCCCCGGGCGCGCCGGGGACTTAAAGCGGGGCGGGAGGCGGCGGGGCCGGGCTGCGCCACGCCACGCGACGCCACGGCACGGCACGGGTGGGGAGCTCGCCATGCTTTTCGATCGGCTCAAACGGTTTTTTATCGTGCTGGAGGGGACGGAACGGGATGCCCCCGCCGCTTTCAGCCCCGGGCAGGCGGTGTCGGGCCGGGTGGTGCTGGAGCTGGCGGCGGCGGCGCGGCTCGGAGCCCTGAGGCTGCGGGCGATGGGCGCTGCCCGCGTTCACTGGACCGAATCCCGCAGCGCCGGCTCCAGCACCGCCTACACGCAAAGCTACAGCGACCAGGTGGAGTTTCTCAGCCACCGAGACACGCTGCTGGCACCCCCAGGTACGGCACCCCCGGGGACGGCACCCCAACAGCACCATCACCCCCCCACCCGCCCCGGGGCGGCACCCCTGGGGTGCTCCGATGTGCCGAGAGCGGGGGTGTGGGTGCTCCGGAGACCTCAGGGGCTGAAATAGTGGGTGTATGGGGCAGCCTGGGCCACCCCCAGCTACTGGGTGGATGACACCCCAACCAGCAGAAATCTGGGTGCATGGGACACCCCAGCTGCTGGGTGCATGAGACCCCAACCCGCTAAAATCTGGGTGCCTTGGATACCCAGGCTGCTGGGTGGGTGACACCCCGATCAGTTAAAATCTGGGTGCATGGGGTGTCTTAGGTCCTGGACGCTCTGGGGAGTGGGTGCATATCTCCCCCACCACCACCCCGACACCCCAAATGCTGAGTGCACCCCAGGGGCCCTGGGGTGTGCAGCTGGGCCCTGCTGCTGTGCCGGGCACCCCAGTTAGGGACTGGCCCCACACAGGGCTCCCCGTTTGCCGTGGGTGCTCCCTGACAGGGAAGCAGCGTTGGAAAACTCCTGGGGAGGTTCAGGAGCTTGTTTTGAGCAGGGGGATCAGAGTGGCTGATCCTCAGAGGTCCCCTCCCACCCCAGCCACTCTGTGCAATGCAGGCAGGATAGGGGTGCAAACCGTGGGGGCATGGGGGGCTCAGCTGGCCACCTTCCCTGGGTCCTGCGTGCCTGGAGACGCGTGGAAAACAGCCAGCACCCGTCACCCGCGGGACGTGCCCAGCTCTGCTATCGCAGCTGTGTGACTGCAGCTGCAGTTTAACCCTGGCAGAAACATTCCCGTGCCATCGTGCTGCTCACTTGCTGTGTACTGTACATCTCCGCCACCGATTTACCCCGGGAGGAAGTTCTGCAGGGGAGAGATAATAGTCTTAAATCTGTTTTGCCCACAGACAATGGTGAGGTCACCGTCCTGCAGGCAGGAAGGCACGAGTTCCCCTTCACCTTCCAGCTCCCCGAGTAAGTTGACGTTTTTTTGTTGCCTTGATGCAAAGGGAGAGAGGAGCTGCTTGGTGCGTGACGTAGGCCCTGGGAGGGGGGGATAAGGCACCTTGAAAACTAGATTCTTTCAGCAAAGCCCTTCTAAATCGCTTGTTGCTTATACATAGGACTCTGGCTACCTCCTTCGAGGGAAAGCATGGCAGTGTGCGCTACTGGGTGAAAGCCAAACTGCACAGACCCTGGTCCACAGTGAAGAAAGTGAAGAAGGAGTTCACGGTGATTGAACCCATCGACATCAACACGCCCGCGCTGCTGGTGAGCTCCCCCTGCTCCACCTCAGGGCAGCGGCATCCAAAACTTCCCCGGGAAGCCCATGGGGAAGGTGTCTGCCTCCCCTCCAGCATTACAGTGCAGGCCTGATTTCCAGAGGGAATATTTGCCCCCCACTGTAACATGTGCCCTCCAGCGTTACCTGGACTGGGCAGAGGTCATCTGTGTCTCTTAGTTTTTAGAAACTTTAACGCATTGCGACAGCATCTTGCATCAGATACCTAAGAAGTTGCCAATGCTCCCTGGCAGGTTCTCAGTGCTAGGGAGGTGCTTGCTTTGAGTTTTGTCCTTTCTTACTAAATAGCTTAAATATTTCCCTTTTCCCAGGCTCCCCAGGCAGGTGCTAAGGAGAAACTTGCTCGTGCCTGGTACTGCAATCGTGGCCAGGTTTCTGTGACTGCCAAGATTGACCGAAAAGGCTACACACCAGGTGAGGACAACATCCTGGTACCCTTGAACCTCTGCAGGCCCTGGGGTGGACCCCAGTGGGAGGGAATTCAGGGTCATTGGGAGCTGGGGTCTCGACTTCAGTCACAAAATCAGTCAGAGAGCTTTGGTGTGTGCACCTGATGTGGGCAGAGTCCGCGCAACAGGTTTAAACTCTGTGCCGGATAGCCTGACCAACCCTCGGTGGATCCTGTGCAGGAATTCCTCGGGGCAGGACCAGGCTCCATCTCCCCTCCCACCAACATCTGCATCTGTTTCGGTAGGTGAGGTCATCCCTATCTTCGCTGAGATCGACAACTGCACAACCCGAGCGGTGGTGCCCAAGGCGGCCATCATCCAGACTCAGACCTTCATCGCTCGGGGCACCAAGAAGCAGAAGAAGTCGGTGGTGACCAGCATCGTCGGTGACTCCATTGCAGCGGGGAAGCGGGAAGTGTGGCACGGGCGGGCGCTGAAGATCCCACCGGTGGGTCCGTCCATCCTCCAGTGCCGCATCATCCAGGTGGAATACTCCCTGAAGGTGAGGGGCCTCGCGGGGAGCGTTGCAAGTGGCTCAGCTCAGTGGTCTCCTTCTCCCCAGAGCTGTGCTCGCTCTTCCTGCTTTGGGCTGGTGCAGAGATTTGGGGGGCTGATGATTTGTATGAGGTCTTGGGTTCTCCCCGTTGCCCCTCATGCACAGCACGAGGGCTCACACTGGAGCATTTGCATCTCCCTTTGCATCCCGCTACAAGAACTCCTTCCTGGCCAGCTTGAGCCAGTGCTCTGGGGAGATATCTGCCCCTCTGGATTGGGAAAACACCAACAGCTAAGCTTCCCTGCTGTCTCCCACCTCTGAAGGTTTGCGTGGATATTCCTGGGACGTCCAAGCTGCTCCTTGAACTGCCGCTTGTCATCGGAACCATCCCACTGCATCCGTTCGGGAGCCGCACGTCCAGCGTCAGCAGCCAGTACAGCGTCAACCTGGACTGGCTGAGCACCATCCCGGAGCAGCCGGAGGGTGAGCATCTCCCTCTTTCCAAGGATTTCTCTGGGTGCTGCAAAACCCCCTGGTCAACCCGCTCTGCATAGCGAGGGTCAGAGCAAGTTCTCAACCGTGTCTCTTGCTCCAGGACCAGCTTTTGCTGCTTTACTTAATTTTTTGGTTGTGGTGCTGCACCTCCTGGGTTCTATCCCCGGGGAACTGGGAGGGTTTGAGAAATAGTGGATTTGAAGCCCTTTTACCTGCATGTTTCCCATTAATGGAGAGTGGTTCCTATTCCTTGATGGTTCTCTTCTCTCTTCAGCTCCTCCTGAATACTCAGCGGTCGTGTCGAGCCCGGAGGCCGAGCAGAGCCTGGCTCCGCCGTGCCGCAGCGAACTTGGTGGCATCCTGGAAGGTCCCTTCTTCGCCTACATCCAGGAGTTTCGCTTCCGACCACCTCCGCTGTATTCGGAGGTAACAAATCCCCCTGGGCTGGGCGGGCTGGTGGAGATGGCTGGGATGTGCCCGCTGCCAAGGTTTTTGACTCTCAACTTGGCTTTGCAGGTTGATCCAAACCCCCCATCAGACACCATCCGTCCACGCTGCATGACCTGTTGAGAGAAGCGCATCGGATGAGGTTGACAGCGTGGCGATCCCTTGGGATGAAAGCTTGAACCCTCACAGCACTTTGGTCTGGAAATGGAGACGCGGCGGCCGCGAGACCAGAGCTCCTGCACCGCTGAGGCCCCGGCTCTGCTCACTGCCCTCAACTGCTCTTGTCGTGACTGTCCTACGGACCGACACCAAGCGCAGTGTCGTGGACTCGTGCGTGGTAGGAGAACACGTGAGACCCTGCGGTGTGGAGCAGCTCCGTGTGTTGTTGGGCAGGACGTGGAGGGTTAATAACTGCCCCAGGATTTGGGGGTTCAAAAAGGGGGGATACTTGCTCTCCCCTTGCCTGCGGTGGCCTTGCTTTGACAACTCTTGTCGTGGAAAATAGGAGCGTGGAGGTATTTCTCAGGATTACTAGAGAATATTCTAATGTTGCTCGAGTTGGACTCCTGTGGTGATGCAGGTGCAGCCCTTGTGCAGTAGCTCGCCAGGGTTGCAGTTCCTGGTGAAGGTTAAAGGCCTTTTTCTGGCCAGATGAAGCAGAGACTTCATCTGCTGCTGATAATCTTTGCCACGAGCCTGGTGATGCCTGCAGAGGGAATGGTTTGAGCTGGTCTACAGAAGCTGTAAAGGCTTCCATGGGCTGATACTAGGGCAGAGGACTTGGGGGGGATGACTTTATGATCTCTGGCAGCATTTTGGTGCCGTTTTCCAAGAACAGGAAAGCTGGTTCTTTTGTGTCAGCCCTAAACCTGCACAGTGTGCTGATGCCTCCCCCCACACCGCCGTACCACCACAGGGGTGTTTGAGCTGTGGCTCTGGCATCTCCCTGACGGCCGAGGAGATGAGAAGGAAGCCCGGTCCAAGGCTGGTGGCAGCCACAAATGCTGATGGGAGATGTGGAGTGGGAATGAATTCTTGGAGTCCTGCTCAGGATGGGCTTGATCCTGCGCCCGTAGAGGGGTCGGTGGCCCTGGTGCAGTGAGGAGAGCGGCAACCTGTGTTCACCAGTGTGCGAACTGGTGAGCTGGGTGTTGTAGCAAGGACCGCTCGAGCGTGCATGCCAGGGCTGACCCCGCTCGCTCCAGCACGACCTGAGCAGAGTTTGGGTGCTGAGGACCTTTGCATTCCCTCACTGAGACAATCCTGCCCGCAGGGTTGCTCGCTTCCCTGCGCACAACCAAAGCCAAGCGTGCCTTAGCCTCCGGGCCAGGGCCGCGCTCTGCTCGCTCGGGATTGCTCAGATGACTTTTTGTATCTGTGAAATTTTTTGTAATGACCACCCTTGTCTCTATTCTTTTTGTACGACTTTTTGTTGGGGAATTTTTCTTTGGAATAAATTTTTAAACCCAGATGTTGCCTGGATATTGTTTTTTATTGCTCTCTTTCTGCTTCTCCTTGCCCGGAGCCATGCAGCTCATGTGGCTGTTGGGATGTGGAAGCGGGAGTGCTCCTTCCCCCTCACTTCATCACCCTGCAGGCACCCAGCTCCACCCTGCACCCAGTCCCACTCTACACTGGGATTAACTGAGTCACTCCGGCAGCGCTGCTCCCCAGCAGGATTGGTCCTGCTCGGAGCCCCCCAGCCCTGTCTGGGTGTCAGGCTCCCCCAGGGAGAGCCGAGATGCTCCGGGCTGTGCCTCCACCTCCTTCACCTCCGTGCAGGTTTGGCCCTTTTCCCATCACCAACTCAGCAGGGCTGTGAGTGATCCTGTTGTATTTTTCCACACTTGCTTCCTATTTGCGTCCGGGCTGTTGGAGGACAGACATGCTGTCCTCCATCCTGAGAGCCTGGCAGGGACCTGGCAACTCCAACTGGGAGCCGGGACATGCCGTGGTGGCTCAGCCATCCCAGAGGAGGGCTGGGATCAGCCCCACGCTGTGCCGGCTGGGAACGGCTGCTGCCGTGCAGGAAGGCTCCTTCACCTGCTGCCTTGGGTTGGGATTTGGTTTTTAACAGCATTTCTGTGCTGAGCACAGCAAACCTGGGTGCATGCAAAGCAGGGCTTGAGTCAGGGCTTCAGTTATGTCTTCCACAGCCTGTGCTGTTTAAAAATATTGCCACTGGAATGTGATGATTTCCACCACCCCACCCCCCCCTTCGTCTTTTTTTTTGTTGTTGTTGTTTGTTGAGCTGCTCAGGGCTGTGGCTGTGTCCAAGCATGTGCTCCCACAGTGGGCCAGACACTCGACTGCAGCCCAGCAAGATAACTCGTCCCCATATTTGCCTATAAGAGCCTGGTGCTCATGCAACCTTTATTCAAATCTGACTTCTATTTGCCACCCCTGGCCACACCGAGTAATCTTCCTCGGAAGAGGATTACCCGACCTTGCCGTGAATTTGTTTGCATCCTTGTTCAGGGAGATGCGTGCCCAGATCCCCTGCTCGTGGTAGTGGTGGCCTCATGGTTCAGCTGCGCTGGAGCTTTTTGGTGACATCAAAGAGGGCACGAACCACAGCGCTGCAACCCCCCCTGGTTAGAGATGCCTCCAAAGGGAACCCTGTGATCAGCTCCCCCCGCCCAGCCAACCTCCGCGGCACGGCACAAGGGAGCCATTCTGTGCCGGCAAACGCCGAGTGGCAGAGATGGCCGGGGGCTGTGGATCAGACCCCAATCATCTGCCCCAGCCACACAAGGGGATGCTTATTCCCAGGGCCGGAGGGGGAGGAGAGCCGCTGAGCACCCCATCTGTCTGGTTGTACCTTTCTGGGAAAGCACGTCACGCTGTGACGGTGACAACCACGGGGACAGGCCATGCCGGGCCGGGGAACCCAATGCTGGTGGGCACCGCTCCCAGTCCCCACGTGGGAGGGATCTTTCCAGTAAGAATTCTTGTAAATGCCTCCAGGTTTTTCTTGTACAGCCAGACAGTAGCTCAGCAAGGCGGGGGGCACGGCCAGTCTGGGTCCCTTGCCAGCAAAGGGCTGTGCTCCTGAATCCCAGAGGGACTAAAAATACCTTGTCTGGATATTCGGAGCCCAGGCGAGGTGTGGACCCCCCAGGGCAGCGCTTTCACAACCGCTGGCAGTGCCGCCAGTGTTCCCTCCAACCTTCTGCTGTTTATCTTCCCCGGCTCCAAAGTCCTTACTGAACAGCCTGAGCTGTTCTCCTCTTTATTGGCACAAGGGGGTTTGGGGCACACGGGGGCTCTCGGGGGGGGGGGGTTCTGCTGAGCTGGGATGGCCCCGTGCCACGTGCGGTGATGCCGGTCGTGGCCCAGAGACCCGAGGCTGGGCAGGAGGCATGTTATGCAATTACAGTGCCGGGAGTATTTATAGCTCTTGGCCCTGCACATTGGAAAAAAGTTTCCCAGACCACCCAGCAAAATCCACTCCTCGCAAGGGGCGTGGAAACACTGTGCTCATCTCTTTTCCTTTTTGCCAAAAATGTGGGACCCCTCTGCCCTGGGCACTGGGGTGCTGGGATCCCCATCTCGCTCCGCTGCAGCTCACGGCTCTGCAGGGTGCAGGGGCTCCCTCCCTGCAGCGCATGGACCTGCAGCCCCTTTCTGCAGCACGTCGGGGGGCTCCTCCTTCCCCCCAGCTCTCCCCATCCCCAGAGGATGCTCAGTCCCGGCACGGCGGCCATGGCCTTTGCTTGAGGCTGTTGTCCTCTGGCAGATGGGCAGTGATGGGGCAGGGCCAGTATGGCCATGCTGCAGGGAGGGTGACACACAAAGCTCGCGGCCGTCCCGGCGCTGGCAGGGACAGAATGTGCCGGCGCAGCCTTGCGAGGGCTGGGGATTAGCTGCGCGGCTGCCGCCTCCCTGCCTGGGCACCCATCCAGCTCCCAAAACAAGCGCCGCCTTCCCCCACCCCAGCTGGGCTGAGCCCCGCGGGGTGCAGCTCACCCCAGAACACCCACTGTGGGGGGGCACCAGGAGCTGCTCTGTTTGCAGGAGGCGGGGGGGGGGAGCGGTCGGTGGGGATAAATCCAGATTTTGCCCAAACAGGGGATGCCCACGCGCTGTCCCGCTGCTGGGGATGGGGGTTGATGCGCCGCTCAAATTCAGCATCTTTGCAGCTGGTAGGACACTGGGCTCACACCGCTCGCACCCCGGGGAGCAGCGAGTCGGTGCCGGCGGGTGCTCAGGAGCACGGGGACCTGCTTGTCCCCGGGTTACGGGACCTGTGCTGTGCCAGCGGGTCCCTGAGCACCTTGGGGACACGCACATGGTCCCTGGCAGCACTGGGCCTTATTTTGGTTTTACTCCATCCCCTGGTGTTGCGAACAGCACAGCTTGGCCCTAGCAGCATCTCCGGGAGTCCCCTTTGCGCGGCGGTGGCAGAGCTCTGCCGGGGCGCCAGGAAGCAGCCGTGCACCCCGACATGCCGAGGCGGCATCGCAGCTGCTGACTCAGCCGCCTCTTTTGCAGGAGCCGCTCCCGCCCACGAAAACCACAGGCAAAGTCCCTGCATCCCTGCGCCGGGGCTTTCCCCGCCAGCTCGACAGGAATCGCAGCTTTTTCCCGGAGCGGCAGCATGGGCCAGTGCAGGCAGCGAGCCCCTGGGGGTGCAGGGGAAAACTGTGGAGAAACCGGGGTTGGTTTATGCCAAAAAAACGGGGTCTGGAGCTGCCAGCTGGACGTGTTGCATGTGCCACGTGTCCCATCGCCACGGAGCATCGTGCTCACCGGTGCTCACCGAGACACCCCATAAACCCCGGTGGCAGCGGCTGCTAGCGGTGCCGGGTTTGCCACAGGGCTGGTTGATGCCGCAGGCTGCTGGGAGCAAACTGACACCGTTATTCACTATATCAAACCCAACCCCTTGTTTTTTCTGGGGTGGACTCCCCCCCTCCCCCTCAATTTGGTGTCCCTTGTTGTGCAGCTGCCCAGCCCCTCACGTGGTCACTGCTCCCTCTCTTGGGCAATGGAAAATTTTTTATGACTTTTTGACTTTTATCCAGTTGTTTGGGAGCGAGGAAGGGGCCAGGCGCCGCGCACAAACATGTCTATGTATAAACAGCCGGGACTGCGCGGGGGGATGGAGCCGCCGGCGCCGGGTGCCAGCGGGGAGTGTCCCCACTGAGCTGGGTGTCCCTTATCCCGCCGGGACCCCAGAGCACCATCCCAGGCTCGGCAACCCAAAGCTGTCCCTGCGGGGATGCAAATATTTTGGCTTTGTTCAAAAAAACAACAACACTAAAAAAAAAAAAAAATACACACACACACCCCCCCTCCTTCCGAGCCATCCGACAGCGGCGCGTGATGTGTTGGCACACAAACAGGGCGCACTGGGGACGGCGCTCGCCCGGCTGGGGACACATGCACAGCTCCCACGGCGGCATGCGGGGACGGGCTGGGATCTGCGGGTGACACGATGGCACTTTGCTCCCTACCCCAAGCTGTGTTTGCCATCACTCCTGGGTCCCTGCTTTTCAAGTCGTCCCCACACCCCCTGCCCGGAGAGGGATGCCCGTTCCCGGCCACGTTTCGGGGGTACGTGGCGCGGTGGCATCCCACACCCCTGACCACTTCATCTCCCCGCAGTTAAAACCTCGCTCTGCGGGGCGTTCGGGAGGATGCTCTGGGTGCCGGTGGGGACGCAGCCATCCCCAGCTGAGAGGCACAGAGCGGGGGGCCGTCGCCCCCTCTGCTCCCCATCCCCTTCCATCTCACCCCCGCTCTCAGGGCAGCTCCTGCGATGCGCCAACCGTGGCAAACCCCACGGCTCCCATCCCTCTTCCCACTCCCCAATCCCAAACTCTCCAGAAATGGGGTTGTGCAGTTTTTTCTCCCCCTTCCCATCCTTCAAGAAGCAGCAATTTTAATCTGGTTTCAGCAAAAAACTTTGGGCCAGGCCTAGTTTGGGGGAAAAGAAGGGACCGAGCCAGCTTGTAGGGATGCCCATGCATAACTAAGGAGCTTGCAATAAAACTCCCTCCCCCGACCAGGGGTGCTGCACCCCTCTCCCCGTTTACTGACCTCGTTAGCAAGCCTGTACCCAATTACTTTTAAATGCAAGGGTTTATGTGGAGCAGGGAGAGGGCTGTTCCTGCTAAGCAGCTGTGTAAATGCCACCGTATCCCAGCCCAAAGATGGAGGCAGCGATAGCCGGGGGGGTCCCGACTGGTTGGAGGTGGCTGTGGCGGGCAGTGCCGGGGGGGAGGGCGGCACTGCCGGACAGTCCTGGGGGGGGGGCCCCCAGCCGGTTTGCTCTGCTTTCCCGGTGGTTTTGTGGGTGAAAAAATGAGGGAGAGTCAATCTGCTTGCAAAGAGCTGGTAAACATTGGGAGAGCAGATCTGAGGGGGGGGGGGGGGGGGTTGGGTGTTGGTGTCTGCTCTTGCTCCTGTATTTATTGCTGCAAAGCTCAGCTGGTTGCTTCCTCCAGGATCAGCCCCTTCCCTGTATGCACAGATGGGGGTTTGCTGCAAAAATTAGATTTTTTTTTTTTTTGGAGGGGGGACTCTCTGGTTCCTGCTGAGCCAGCTATCCTTAGCTCAACCCCGGCCACCCGCTTGAGCAAAATATGTTTACGCCACAAACCTCTGGATGGCTCCGCTGCCAAGCGGGCAGGGGAATGTGTGTGCTGATAAGGGCGCCGCGTCCTTTCCTTCCAGATCACCTGATAGCCAGGGAAGCACATGGAGGCGGCTGCCTGGCTCCTAACGTCCTTGTTTTATGATTTCTTTTATTATTATTTTATTATTATTAAGTTTCAGTTAAAAAAAAAAAAATTCAATAGCTGTGGCTTTGCCACGCCACGCTGCTGCCAAAGCCTGGAAAGCTTCAGCTGTGCCAGAGGCTGAGCTGCCCCCAGGGCTGCTGGCCCTGAGAGCAGCCATCTGAAAACGTTAAAACTGCAGAAAGAAAATATTTCCTGCCATCGCTCGAGTGTTTCTCACGTGGCAAAGGGAGAAGATGGTTTCTAACCGCTTCTCCCTGCGCACATGCTGGGGCATGCAGGATCCCGGTGGGATTTTGCCAGTGATCTGAGCATCCTAGTGCAGCCCCGTAGGGGATGGGGCAGCTCCAAGCCCCTCTCAGTGTGGAAAAAAAAAAAAACATTAAATACTCAATTTTGCTGCTGCTTCAAGTCATTTTCCATTCTTGGGTTTGGAAATAACTCTCGCCTGGGTGAAGCTGTTGCAGCAGGCGAGCTCAGCCTGATGTGAGCAGGAAAGAGCCGGGGGTGCTGAGCGGCTGCGGGCCCTGGTTTGCAAAGTAAAACTGCAGTTGTTGTTGTTGTGATACTGTACGGTTGCGAAACACCAGCGCTGAAGTACCCGTGACTTTCAAAACAAGCTGAGCCCAGCTGCGGCCGGCGTCCGTCTGTCCAGCTGCGGTCATCTGTCCAGCTGTGGTCCCTGCAGCCCCCTCCGTGCTGCACAGGCACGGCTGGGATGCTTGTGCCAGTGATGCTTGGGGGGGGTGGAGTGGATTTCTTCAGGGGGAAGAAGCACAAAAGCTTTTCCTAGGGAGGAAAAGCAAAAATTTCCCAGCTGCAGAAGTTTTTCCTGGCTACAGGGGTTTTGCAGTGCTGGAGTGGAGGGGGTGGATGAGCCACCTGCCCCTGGGTGAGATGCTTGAATTCTGCTTAAAGAATAAAGCCCCAAAAATCCTAGGGATAGGTTTGTTTGCTTAGAGATTAAGTCAAAGCAGCTCCTGAATGGTCACCTAATCCCGCCGGGAGCGGGTGGCATTGTGTAGGTGGTGGCAGCGGTGGCTTTTTGCCTGGGAAATAATCCTCCTCCCCGCCACGGCTCGTGGTCAGGGCTGGGCTCGAGCACCTCGCTGGCGACAGCTCTCCTCCGGGCTGGGGTTTGGGGAGGGAGAAGGGGTGCTGGGTGCTGGGAAAGGGCTGCGAGAGGGACAGACGGACCAGGGAAGGGGGTGCAGGGTTGCAACTTTTTCTGCTGCCCATGCTAAAACCAATCTGGTGTTCTGCAGGGCTGCATTTCCCCCAGGCTGGGAAACAGGTTAAACTCCTCCAGCTGAGCAAAATCCCAGCCCAGACCGGCGGGGATGGACCTCGCCTTCCCCGGGGGCTCAGCCCCCCCACAAGAGCTGCTGTTTGTGGGGCTGTAGCAAACCCCTCCAGCTATTTTATGTTTTTCCTCTGGTGCCCGCCTGAGCTTGCATTCACCCCCCCAAATCAGGGAGCCCAAATCAAACCCCCAGGCTCCGAGCATCTTCCTGCAGCTCTGGCTGGCTGCACTCGGATGCAGCGCTGAATTTTCCTCTTAGCAAGAGCAAGCGGAAGCGGCGGGGGGTCAAGCCACACATGAGTGTCCCCAGAGCCGTTTTGGGAACACTGCCACCTTGACCCTGTGGGAATAGGGAAGGAATAGGGGGAGGATTTTCCCCTTTAGGGCAGGGGTGCTCAGCGCTCGCCCTGGAAAACAGCACCTTCCCCCACGGTGTTCGGGCAGCTCTGGCGCCGGCGGGTGTAAACAGCCATACAGAAATAGTCAGCATATCAAGCAATATAAAACGGCATGGCAGGACGTAATCAGATGTCCTCCTCTAAAAATAAAAGGCAGCGGGGTCTTAAATTAGATGCTTGTAAAGGTGTTGGGGTACGGCTGGGGCTGCTCCGCTCTTCTCACCCATGAAGACCCCAAATTCAGGGGGACTCCACGGCTCAGGGTGCCTTTGGGATCAATGCCAATCCAGCCGTGCTCCTGCCATCCCCCTGCGCCAGGCTGAGCTTTTGTTTAATTTTTTTTTCCCCCGTTGCGAGGGCTTTTGGCTGCTTACCCCAGAGCTGTCCTAGAAGGAGTCCCCTGTTCAGTGTAATAAGTTGCCCATTCTCAGGCTGCGGGTGGTGGCGTCTCTCGCCGGGTATAAGTGATGCCCTGCGGCGTGTCTGGGTCCTGCGTGGGGTCGGATCCAGGTGGAGGAGCGGGGAAGGTCACGTCCTGGCTGCAAAAGCTGGCCTGGCAGCCGTCCTCCGGACGCTGGGCTCAGAGCAGCTCCCAGAGACTCGTTTGGAAAAGTCCTGTGAAACTTAAACTAATTAGAAAGTCCTGAGCTGCTCACTCAAGCTAATTGCCAAGGCCAGCTTAATTAGTTTTCCCCAGCACGTTGCCCGTGGGCTCTGCACCGCGCAGTGTTCCCGGCAGAGCACCGGCCAGCTCAGGACACGTGTGGAAAAGGATGTGTGGGGCTGTCGGTGGGGCCGGGGCTGTCCTTTGAAGGCATCGGGGGAGGACGTGAGTGGCAGCACGGGTGGGATGGATCCCTGGAAGGTGACTCCACGGGGGCGATGGGTGTCCCCCCCCCTGTCTCCCTGGGGTGTTTTTAATGCAGCAATGGGGACTGGCTGTCCTGGCATGAACTGTTGCCGTGAACAGGAATGATTAACCGGCTGCGGCGCTGGCCCCGAGCCGGGCAATGTATTTACCGCCGCCGCCCAGCCGTGCCGAGCCGTGACCCCGGCACCGCTTCCTTCACTGCTCCGGCCCCAAAACCAGGCTGTAAACAGGGGCTGGGGCTGAAACCCGAGTGCGTGCTCCCGCCGAGCTGGTAACCGAATACTTCCTCCGCATGTGGCTGGCCCAGTGCGCTCCGGCGAGCCCGGCATCGCCCAAATCCCAATAAAATCGCTAAATCTGATCTCTCCAGCTGGGTTTCTGGAGCCGGGAGGATGCCAGATTCCCGGCCTCCAGCTGATCCCCGGGGATTTGGGGTGCTGGAGAGGAAGGACGGAGGCTGCCGGTGACGCAGGGGCCCCGGGGTGATGCGGGGAGGGGAGGATGGATTTGCTCGGCGGGGAGGTGGGGAAGCACCGTGGGGACGCGGGGCTGGTGCCACCTCGTGGCTTCGCTGGCAGCGGAGACACCCTGGACGTGGGGTGCCGGACACCGGTGGGCACGGTGGCCGGGATCCCCAGCCACGGCAGCCGTCCCCATCCCGGAGCGCCGGGAAGAGCCGTAAATCCCGACTCACCCACGGCTGGCGGAGGTCGCACGGGGAGGGGAACGTGCCGAGAGGCAGCCGTGTGCTCCCCCGGGTGCGTTATCGCCGGTTGGCATCAACGCAGTTTCCGCCCACGCGTGCCTGTGCTGCGAGCGTCGTTTTGGTGAAATCCTTCACAAAACACGGTTGGGGTGAAAAGCAGCAGCGCGGAGGCCGAGCCGTACGCCGGCAACTGTGGTAGAGGCACTGAGGCTGTGCTGGCGCTGCCTTTCCCCGGACTTCCCCGTGCTACTAACCCCCTTTTTTTTTTTTTTTTTTTTTTTAATTATTTTTATTTTTTGCCCTCTGAGCAAGTAAACGCTGACTCCTCTGGCCCCTTCGTGCAGGGCAGACAAAGCCACAAACCGCTGCTTCATCTTCAGCAGCATCTCCAGTTCTGCCCCAGATAAGGCCCGAGGCAGCAGCCCGGCTCTATGTGGGGGTGCTGGGGGGGCCCCACCTGCCCCACATCACCCCCAGGCCCAGCCCCACTCCCTGGTTGCAACCCCCACAGCTCTTGACTCTAAATCCTTCCTGTAACTTGCCCAGCTCAGGCAAGGGAAGCCAGCTCAGCCCTGCTGCTTTGTGCCCTTATTTAAATTTTTTATTATTTTTGCTTTTTTAGTTATAGTTTACACTTTTATTTTTTTTGAACATTTTTTATTTTTTGCAAATTTAAAAAATTTTTTGCACCTTTTTGCACACTTGTTATTTTTTGCACATTTTAGAATTTTTGCCCATGTGTTTTTTTTTCTTTTTGCCAGTAGCTTCTGGCTGGTGCTGGGGCTGCCTGTGCCCCCATCCCTCAGGAAGGCAGGAGGCAGCCAGCCGGGATGAAGCGCTGCCTCTCCTCCCGATCCAGCCAAGGAAACACCCTCAGCCCCAGCCAGACTCTGCCATCTCCTTCCCTCGTTATTTATTTATCACCAGCAAACGGTTGAGGCTGGGAAGCGCGTGGCCTGATCCTGGCCCCCTGTAATTGGAGGCGTCGCCTTCTGTGTCCTGAAAACCAGAAAACACCCTGAAAATGCTCATGAGAATGAACCCATGGGGTGGGGGGGAGCTCAGCATCCTGCGTGGGTGCTCAGCATCCCATGGGACCCCCCCCCGTCCCCCTCCTGCCATCCATCCCCAGCCTGGTGATGGCTACAGCACCGACTTCTCAGGCGATGGGTCCCATCCTTCCTCGTCTCTGATGATGACGGGTTTGTCGGAGATGAGCAGGGCAATGGGGACCAGCGGCTGGCACAGCCCTTCAGTTTCCCCCTCTTCCTCCTCCTCCTCCTCCTCCTCCTCCTCCTCCTCCTTCTCCTCCTCCTCACCAGGTGGGTTGCTGGTGCAGCCAGTGCTGTCAGATGGTGGAAATCCCACCGGGCTCAGCACCTCCTGCCTGCGGTAGGCGAACGGCAGCTCCTTCTCGCAGCCCGGCGGGCACAGCACCGCTGGTTCTTCGGCCACCGGGCTGGGCCACAGCGTGCCGGGCCATGCGCTGGCATCGGTGTCAGTCAGCTCCTTGCTGGGATCCAGCTCCTTGCTGGGATCCAGCTTCTTGCTGGGATCCAGCTCCTTGCCAGGATTTGGCTCCTTGCTGGGATTCGGCTCCAGCAGCAGCAGCTCGGCCAGGCTGAACCTCTCCGAGGGCTCCACGAAGCCTGGCTGGGGCTGGCCCTAAAGGGTCGGATGTTCTTGGGGTGGGAACATTCCGTGGCAGCACCGTGCACGGGTGCTTGCCGGGGTGCAGGATCAGGCCCTTCCTGCACTTTGCATCTCACCTGGCTCGTTTCGCTGGTGGAGAACTGGATGGCTTTGCTGCCCATGGGCTTGGGCAGGGGTGGGAAGAAGAGGCGGCGAGCCCTGGGGAGCGGGTGGTTGGTGAGGGGGGGGGGGATTGAGGGGTAACAGGGTGGAAGTTGGGAGCTGGGGCGGGGGGGTAGTCACCAGCACCTCTTTTTGCTTATCTGGTAGACAGCGGCCATGGCAGGGAGACCAAGAGAGATGCCCAGGTACTTCAGGTTGAATTTCCACGCTGCTCCCTGGGGACCTGGAGACAGGCACGGCTGAGCGGTGGCATTCCTGTCCCCAGCACCCCACGTGGGACATGGGAGCCGTTTCAGGGTGAGGGCGAGCGCTCCACAGAGAGCACCTCACAGGGACCGGGGAGGGGACAGGGTCCCCAGCCATTTACCCAGTGCCTTGGTCTGGAAGTGCCACCAAGCACCGCAGGTCCCCCCGCTCTCTGCCGTCACCTCCCAGACGCCCACCCTGTAAGCTGTGCCGGGCCTCAGGTTTTGGAGGGTGTAGTGTGATGCCGCAGCGTCCGCTTCGGCGTCTGGGCAAATGATAACGAGCAGGCGGTAGTCTGGCAGCTGCCCCCCCTCCTCCTGCCCCACAGGGACGGGGGGAGTGTCCCACTCACAGGTCACGTTGTCCCCCTTGGCCGCGTGGCAGATGAGGTACTTGGCCAGCACCCCAGGACAGGCGGCACGGGGGGACGGGTTCCACTGGATGACGATGGCAGCATCGCCGGTGCTGGCGTTGATGTGGATGGGCACGGCCAGCGAGGCTGCGTGTGATGGCGAGGGGGGAGGTGTGTGCAAAAAAAATGGGGGAGCGTTTCAGGACACACACACACACCTCCCTCTTTTTTTTTTTTTTGAGTTAAAACAGGCGCGGATGCTCCCTGTTGCCATACGTACCGTTGCCGGCGTAGCGGTGCCGCAGGGCGAAGGTGGACCAGCCCCGTGCCGGGGCCCAGCCGTGAACGGCGAAGCGGTAACACGCCGGTGCTTCCAGCACTCCTGGGGCAGGAACCAGGGATACCAGTTAAACCACGGCCAGGATCCAGCCCCAGGCGAGGGGGGACAAGCAGGGGGCTCGGGGCACTCCCTTGCCTCTCTCCACATGGATGCTCTCGGCAGGGAAATCCCGTCGGATGCAAATTCCCTGTTTCAGGGCTCCTGGTAGCGGTTGCTGCTCGAAGCAGTAGACGTAGCCAGGGCTCGGCGCTTGCCACCGTGCTGTCACGTTGCCGCCGGCCACGCTGACATCCTCGAAGCCAAAATCTGGGATGAAACGAGGAAGGGCACGAGGAATGGCTGGGAAAATAACTGCCTGGAGGCTGCCTCGGGGAGCTCGGTCCTTCCGTGGGGCAGGTACCTGTGCTCTGCTCTGCTGGCACACGGAGCTGCCGTGCTGGCCCTGTCCCGGCGGCGTTGGCTGCCGTCAGCAGGATTTCGTACTCAGCCCCGGAGAGGGTGAGGTTGTGCCCCGTCACCTCCCTCCCCAGCACTGCCGTGTCCTCCTCGGCCGGCTCGGCGCAGCGGCATGCCGGCATGTGGGTGCGCAGCGTGTAAGTGACGTCCCCTTGCTCCTCGGGGGCTCGCTGCGGGAGGGAGAGGGGGTGTCTAGGAGGGGGGCAAGGTGTGTGGGGGGAAACCCAGGAGGGTCCTCGGAGATGCCGTTGTACCTGCCAGCCCAGGCTCAGCACCCGCTGCCCATCTTTCCCCAGTTTTCCCAGTTGATAGCTCAGCTCTGGGCTTGCCAGGATTTCTGCAAGAGGAATAAACCCGGCGGGGCTATCAGCATTTCTGGGAGTCGTTGAGATCCCACCCGCCTCCTCTCCTCTTCCTCACCCTCAGGAATGAAGATGGAGCTGCTCCAGTCACTCCAGTAGCTGCTCCAGTGGGGGGGCTTGTGCCGGAGCTGGACCTCAAAGGCGCCAGGTCCCCCCAGGGCACAGGTCACTAGAGCAGGGTGGCAGTGTCAGTCGGGGGGTAAGCCACCCCACCCCCCCCTTTTTCCCCAGCTTTTGGCCGCTGCAGGCTGCTGGGGGGCCAGGGGGGAGCACAGGGCAGAGCCCCTCCCCGCTGGGACCTGGGAGCACCCCCATGAGATGCTTGTCCCCTACATCCCCGCAGGCTAAACCGACCTGAGTCATCCTCATCTGTCACCGTCTCACATGTCACCTGCAGAGAGAACCAGAGATAGAGGCAGCCGCCCAGTAAAACCAGTATGTTACCGGGACGTGACAGCAGGTGCTGCCCTGAGTCCCCTGAACAACCCAGGGTCTGGGAGAGCCAAATGGGGTGCAGGGACATGGTGGCCAGGAGAGTCCCCTCGGCTGGTGTCCCTTCAGCCCTAGAACCCCCCAGCAGCAATTTGGAGGGGTGGGGGTGTCCCTGGCTACGGGGGGGTTTCACTGGGGACAAGCATCCGGATTTCATCCGTTGGTGGCATTAGTATAATCTGGGCTTTTGCCTGTGTAATCCCTGCGGATCACGGCCTGAGCCTGTTACAGGCGTCAGAGGGATCCTGGGGCCGGGAGGACGGGGCAGAGCCGGTACTGCTGCGAAACAGATGGGACATGGAGGGGTCTGGGGAGGGAGGGACAGTGACATCACCGAGCCCCCACACTCCCCAGGCTGCCTGGGCTGCCACAATGCTACTGACTGTCCCATCGGCCACCGCCGGCTCCAGAAAACGGTGTTTTTACCTGCGTCCAGCCGCGGTCGCCCATCCTCCGGAAGCGAGCCTCCCGCTGCGGTGGCTGGCCCCCGCGGCGGCACGGTAGCCACGGCACCCGCAGCCGCAGCCGGCCGCCGGTCTTGGTGAAGGGCATCCCGGCGGGGGGTGGATCCGGCTTGACTGTCAAAACAAGGTGGTCCTGTGGTCACCAGCGCCAGTGCTGGTGCCCAGCCGGGCCCCGCCGGTGCTTACCGGCCTCATCGAGGTACAGCGTGAGGTTGGGGGTCCTGTGGATGTGGTCCCCCCAACGCGCCTCCACCCAGGCCGTGGCGTTGGTGAGGACGTAGACGCGGTGATGCTTCAAGGTGTACGTTGTCCCCGTGCCCACCTCGAACCGCTGGCACAGCCTGGGCACCGCGTAGCTGCCGGGAACAGGGAGTGGGCGCAAGGTCGGATCCGGATGGGGCGGCGCTCGCCCACCCGGGTGGGTTTGGGACGCAGCAGGCACGTGTCCCCATGTGTCCCCATGTGTCCTGCTCAGACACACAGCCCCCGGGCTCCCCGGGATGCAGTACCCGACTCACCACAGCGTCAGGAGGTAGGAGGTGTTGCCAGCGGGGCCGCGGGGCGGCCAGGAGCAGAGGAACCAGCGGGACCTGCAGTGTTTCCAGCATGAGAAGCCAGAGGCCACAGCGGTGCCTGCGGGATAGGGCAAGGGCTGGAGGGGGGGGGAGTTCCCACACCCCAAAACCCAGCGGATCGAGCGAGGCCGGCATGGAACAGCAGCGCAGCAATCGCCCGATCACCGCGTTGCTCGCCCAGGGGATGGGAGCAGCTGCACTGGGGATTCTCACCCCAAAAAACACCATTTCCCCACCCCTTCCCTGGCTGGTTGCCGCTTGCCCCAGTGCCGGCAGGGATTCACCCAGCTTTAATCCATCCCTGTGGTTCTGGGCGAGTGTCTCCGTCGCGGCGACAGCTCCCCAGGGCCTTATCACCCCCAAATCATTCATCGAAAGTTTTCTGAAGTTATCTCTCATCTCCCTGCGCCGCAGGAGCACTTACCGCCCCACGCCAGCGCCGCCAGCAGCCACCCCAGCATCAGCCACACGGGGTGTCCCATGCCAGATCCTGGGCTCCGTTGTCCTTCTTGGCTACCCACCCCCAACCCCCCAGCACCCAATGGGTGCCCCCCCTACCCCCCCAGCGCCAGCTCAGCGGCAGCCCCGGCGCTCAGCACAGCTCCCTGCGCCCGGTGTTTCCTCTTCTGCTAAAAGTCTGCCGAAGGGCGGCCGTTCCCGTGCAGGGCAGAGCGTGAGGCGTGATTGCATGCCTCACTTTTACCAAAAGCAAAAGAGAAAGCAACCAAAATATCCCCCTTTTTTCTACTGGCGCGCCTGCCGGGACTCAGCCAAAGCCTGGCTGGCGAGAAGCGCAAGGTAAGCAAAAGCGTTGGGGTTTTTGGGGTTTTAGGGCTTTTTTTTTTTTTTTTTCTGCAAGCTTCATGGGATGTTTTTGAGCCCCAGCGAATCTCAAGCGGCTGTGCCAAGGTTGGGGGTCGTTCAGGTTTTCAGCAGCGCGTGTGTGTGTGTGTGTGTGTTCACGCACACGCGTGTGACCGTGGCTGTCCCCTGAAACCAGGCTCCTCGTGCCCACCCCCGGTGCGACCCATCCCCTGCCGCCCCCAACAAAGCCCCAGTGAGGCAGGGGGAGAGCGCGGTGTCACTGGGCTGCCGGCAGCCGCGTGACGGGGCGAGTGACCCCGGGATGGCGGAGCCGGGTGGCACCCGGGGCCGCGCACAGTGTCCCCTTGTTCCCGCAGAAAATGTCCCCTTGTGTGGCTTTTGCTCGGGGCGGCGGTGGCGGGAGTGTCCCTGCGCCAGGCCGGCGCTGCCGGGACCCCTCCGGGGTGGGGACACAGAGGGTCCCCTGGCACCTCCCGCCCTTCGGCCTCACCGCGTGCCCACTCCTGCCCACTGGTGTCGGGGGATGCGCCAAGCTGTGCTGTGCCACGCCAGGCTTTGCCGTGTCACAACGTGCAGCGGCAAACTGGGCCAGGCCGTGCTGGAACATGCCATGCCAGACTGGGCTGTGCCGTGCTAGACTGTACTGGGTGGTACTGGGCTGTGCCAGGCCATATGGACTGTGCTGTGCCGTGTCAGTCATGGGACAGACCCGGGCAAGCCGAAGGGGGCTGTTCCCACCCTGTGCCAGTCCCAGGCTGTGCCATGCCATGCCATGCCAGCCCTGTGCCATGCCGTGCCATGCCATACCCTGCCAGCCCCTGCTATGCTGGGCTCTACTGAGCCAGACATGCTGTGCCATGCCGTGCCGTGTCGTGCCAGCCCCGTGCCATGCCAGACTGTGCTGAGCCAGATGGGCTGTGCCAGCTCTGTGCCATGCCGTGCCATGCCATGCCGTGCCATGCTGCGCCGTGCCGTGCCATGCCGTGCCAGCCCTGTGCCATGCCAGCCTGTACTGAGCCAGACAGGCTGTGCCAGCCCCGGGCTGTGCCATGCCGTGCCAGCCCCATGCCATGCCGTGCCAGGCCGTGCCGTGCCGTGCCGTGCCAGCCCCGGGCTCGGTGCTGATGCGCGTCCGGTGACGCGGCGGGGCCGCTGGGCGGCGCACCGGGCGCACCGGGAGGCGGCGGGAGGCGGCGGCGGGGCGGAGCGGGCGCACCGGGCACGGCGGGCGGGGCGGAGCGGGCGCACCGGGCGCACCGGGCTCGGCAGGAGGATGGACGAGTCCAGCATCCTGCGGCGCCGGGGCCTCCAGGTAAGCACCGGGCACCGGGAGCGGGGCACCGGCGGCGGCCCGGGGCACGGCGGGAGGGAACCGACCCCCGGTGAGCCTGGGGTGAGGTGGGTGCTCTGGGTGCGGGCGGGTGCTGCGGGGGTGGGGGAGCGTGGGGTGGGTGCTCTGGGTGAGCTGGGGGCTGCGAGCGCAAGAGGTGGGTGCTGCGGGTGAGAAGCGGGTGCTCGGGGTGAGTGTGCAAGAAGTGGGTGCTGCGTGTAGGAGTTGGGTGCTCTGGGTAGGGGTGTGCAAGAGGTGGGGGCTGCGGGTGAGAGGTGGGTGCTGTGGGGTGCAGGTGAGATGGGTGCTGCGTGTGCAAGAAGTGGGTGCTGGAGGTGAGAGGTGGGTGCTCTGTGTGTGTGTGCGTGAAAGAAGTGGGTGCTGCGGGTGAGCGGTGGGTGCTCATGTGTGTGTGTGTGTGTGCAAGAAGTGGGTGCTGCGGGTGAGCGGTGGGTGCTCTGTATGTGTGTGTGTGTGTGCGTGCAAGAAGTGGGTGCTGCGGGTGAGAGGTGGGTGCTCTGTATGTGTGTGTGTGTGCATGGGAGGTGGGGGCTGCGTGGGGACAGAGGCTGAGCACCCAGAACCGGGAGCAGGGCAGGGAGCCCCAGCCACGCCGTGGGGTGCTGGGTGGGGGGAGTCACCCTCCTCTGCGGGGGCTGGGGGCTCCCGTGGGGACACTATGGTCCCTCCAGCCCAGCACATGGTGCCGGTCCGTGCTGAACCGCTGTGCCAGCACCCATTTGCCCCCGCGAGCAGCCACCCCCTCCATTGCCCTGTGTTCCCACTCCCCCTGGGCCGAGGGGCACCCATCCCGCACCCACTCCCCACAGGAACCCCAAAACCCGCTGCCGTGCCCAGAGAGGTGCCGACCACGACCCCCAGGGTCACAGAGCTGAGCGTTGAGCCTGATTTTCCGGGTGACCTCACGCCTCCATCCCCATCCACCAAACGGAGCCACGGGAACCGGGGGGCCCAGCCCGAGCTGTCTGGGCTGGCAGAGGATGGCACAGTGCTGCTTTCATCCGAGCTGGCAGCTCCACGTTCCACCCGGGAAAAAGCCCTGAGTGGGAGCTTCCTCCCGACGGATGCGGGTGGATGGAACCACTGCCGTGGGCGTCTGGGCTCTTGGCCGTGGGTGTCATTCCTGGGGGTCCCTGAGGAGAGCAGACCTGCGGGACCTCGGCTGCGTGCCGAGGGGGCTCCCACCACGGAGCTAATCCCAAAATGCTGAGCAGCAATGCCACCCCTGACACCATCCCTGAGACTGTCCCCAATGCTGTCCCTGACACCATTCCCAATGCCATCCCTGATGTTGTCCTTAATGTTGTCCCCGATGCCATCCCCAGTGTCATCCACGATGTGATGTTGTCCCTGATGCCATCCTAGATGATGTCCCTAACACTGTCCCCGTTGCCATCCCTGATACTGTCCGCAATGCCATCCTTGATGCCATCCCTGATGATGTCCCCAATTCCATCCCCCGTGCCACCCCTGACACCATCCCTGGTGCCATCCCTGATGTCCCCGATGCCGTCCCCAATGCCATCCCTGATCCTGTCCCCAATGCCACCCCTCATGCTGTCCCCACAGGGCTCAGCTGGTGGTTACCCCTGGCTCCCCCCAGGACCCGCTGATGGGAGATGCACCCAGCTGGATGGGTGCCTCGGGCACCCTGTGGGTGCTGGCCCTGTGCTGCTGCCCCACGCGGGTCCCCAGAGCCCTCAGTGGATGCTCTGCCTGTCCCTGGGGATGCAGTGTGGCCTGAGAGCCTCCAGCAGTGATAGGTGCTGGGTGCCACAGGATCCCTCCGCACCCTTGGACCCATAGATGGGTGGGGAGGCTGTGCCGTGGGGTGGGGGTGAGCGAGGGGGGACAAGGGTGTCTGTCCTCTGTCCTGCTGACCCATGTGCACTTGGCTGAGCTCTAAAACCCTCAGCGTGACCCTTCTCTCGTCCGCTGGGGGCTGGTGGCCAACGGCACAGCCCCAGGTGTGGGTGTGGGTGGGGATCCGGGCTGGGGGACACGACAGGGCTGGGTGAGGGTGCTGGGGGGGCACCCACTCCACGCAGGGACCCTACACCCCCTTCCCCAGCCCAGGCCTGCGGTCACCCAGTGCTGCTGGGCTCTCTGGGACGACCGCCCCCTGCACCCACACCCGCCCCCCCCCCCCCCCCCAGCACCCACGCCACCCCCCCCCCAGGGCAGACACACAACCGTGGGCCCCCCGGGACTGCCGAGTCCCTGCGTGCATGATGTCACCTGTCGCCATGGCGACACTGCTGCATCACCGCTTGCAGCGCGCCCCAAACTTGGGGATTTCCGCAGGGGCTGCGTGGCGTGGGCAGCGGGACGGGGCGCGGGCACCCTGAGGGGTGCGGGGGTTGTCTGGGTGCTGCCGTGCGTCCCCGCATGGGTGGCAGCAGCCCCCCACCCGTGTCAGGAATGTGTCTAAGGTGCTGAGGGGCACGGAGCTGGCGGGGACACGACGGGGCATTATCCAACATCACGTCAGCACCCCCACGACGTGCCAGGGCATCCACCGCGTCCCTTGCAGGGTGTCCCTGGGACCTGGGCCACTCCCAGTGGCATGACTGGTGGCACTGGGTCTGTGCCGGAGCCAGCCGGTGCCCGCCGCTGCGGGAGGATGGCGCGTGGGCCGGGGCTCCTGCCCGCACAACTGCCCTTTTGCCGCGCTGCACTGCCGGCGAGCCAACGGCTTTTCCACAAAATATTCCCAGCATCTCAAAAAATAAAGAGCAGGGGGGGTGCTGGCAAAACCCAGGGTTGGGGGGACGGGGAGCAGCCATCACCCTGGGGCCACGCTCCAGCCAGGTGGGTGGGTGGGTGCTACGCCCACTCCACCACCCTTGTGCCCCCTCCCTCCCTCCAGCTCCTGGGGCCACCAGCCCTGGGGACTTTGGGAGGAGATGTCCCCTTGCGCTGACCCCGGGTTTGTCACCCTCACCCGGCACGGCAGAACTGGGGCAACCTGGGGACGGTGAGCGGGGGTCCGATCCTGCGGTGACATGACTGGGGACCGGCTGAGGGCGGCGGGGGATGCTGCTGGGGCGCGAGGTGGGGGTCGCAGGCGTGGGCCCCCCCCGCAACGCCTGGGGTCACGCTCTGACCCCGCTTCTCTCTTTTTCTTGTTGCAGAAGGAGCTGAGCCTGCCGCGCCGAGGAAGAGCGTAAGTCCCCAGCCAGGGGCGCGGGATGGGGTGTCACCGAGGGGGACGCGCTCAGGGACGTGACGCTGGCGTCGTGGGGGACAGCGGGGGCGGGCGTGGGGTGGCGCCGGTGCTGTTTGTGCCCAAATCGGGGGTGGCATTGCTGTTGTTCTCTGGTGTTC